GTTGCACTGCTCGGTTTCCCGGTGCAACGAGTCGACCCGAATCTGGTGGGGATGACGACCGAGAGGGACGCATCGGCGTCCAGGATAGAGCAAGACCGAACGAACGAACGACGGACAGAGGGAGAAAGAGAGAAGGAATCATACGCTGTACAGAAATGACGCAGTGCTCGACAGAATCCAACGGGCGAGAAAGAGAGCTAGGACGTTCGGAGAGGAAGGCTGGCGAACATTCCTGCGAAACAGAGACGCGAGTTTCCTTTCCCGACGTCAGACAAAGAGGGACACGGGATGTGTCTGCCGCGCGGATGAAAGAAGAGAGAGACGGCACTTTGTTCGAGAAAAATGGATATATCCCTCGTGGCGAAACGGGAGAGGAAAAACCGGTAGAAAGTCGGAGAGAGATGGGCTGAAAACTTTGGGCGAACGTGAACGTCGAGGCGACCGGAAGAGGAGTCGAGTGGTCAGAGGTCATAAGGTAGCGATAAAATTGAGGAAGAGCGATAGAAGAAAGGGATATCGGAAGGAAGGAAGGAAGGAAGGAAAGACCACACGGTGGTGCGGTAATCGGTCTCTGGCGAAGTTAAGGGGATGGTCACGTGGTGCGTTTGCCGTCGTTGTGCGCACGGTCGGTCGAGTGGAAGAGGAAGGGGGAAGAACGAGGAAATAGGGGCAACGCGTTGCATCGGAAAGCCGGAGGAGCACCGGTGCTGCACCCGTCAGCAGTCTCACGATGTACTTTGCCCTGCGCGTCTCCGACGCGGCGGCGCACGTGCGGCTCGACTCGACTCGACTCGACTCGACTCGTCTCGACTCGACTCGATTCGACTCGACGCGACACGACGCGACACGATGACGAGTTTCGTCGTGACGCGCGAACGGGACCACGCAAAATTAACTTGTCGTTCGCGACGACAGTGCTCCTGGTATACTGTGACGAAAGATCTCGACTTCCTGTTCTGTGGTTTTCGCAACGCGGACCCGCTTTTGGAATCGTTCGTCGTTCAAAACGCGCATCGGGTTTTCCCCTATCTCGCTTCGTTCGGTTCTTCGTTCTCCCTTGAATCTTTCGAGCATTTTACGGAGAAATAAAAATCTATGTTCTCGAACTCTGTGGACAAGTACTTTTCACCCTTGGACATTGCCCTTTTGATACTCGCTTACCGTCTCGTTATATCCCCCCCTCCATTTTGACCATGTCATCCTCTCACCACCCCCGCGGTGCATAACCTGTGCTCGTTATTACATAACAGTTGCCACGGTGTATCTTTTAGGACGTTGCGACCTGTTTACCACGATTCCTCTCACTCTTCCGGCCTTTTGCTTTCCCTCTGACATTTTACGTCGAGCTGACATGCCGTTTTAACTCGCTTCATTTGTCACGTGTCGGAACGTCGCCGTTGAACCCAAACGAGACGCGGAGTCGTTTTTGTTTTCGATAAACGATTCGTAAAAAATTGTTGTCTTTTCCAGTGTTTTTTTTTTCCTGGAATCGTATAGCGGGTACAGTTTGGCTCGCCGCGACAATGCGTCCAACCTTTTGCCTCCTGTGCCCTCCCACCATTCCCACGTGCCAACGAACTTTCGACAAAAAGTAATCACCGACCTACAGCTAGTGCCGGAAGTCGTAGGAAGATGTCAATTGTACAACGCTATCTTGCAACAAACCTATGCCAATTAAACGGATAAACGAAGAGACCGATACGCGGCGTCGTGTCAACTATTCTCGAATAACCACCATCGACGGTCCACGTAATAAAATTTGGATATCAAGAACGGATATTATTACTGCGCCGAAAGTCTTCCGAGTGAGTATGACTTCAAATTAATACATTTTTTTTTATCCCGTTTTATTCCGATTACGTTTCTCGCCATCTGCAATTTTCTTTCGTGTAAAAAATGTACGATTTCCCGTGTTATCGAGATTATAGTCGATCGGAAACAGAAGGAAATAGCAATTTCTAAGCTTTCTTCTCGAATACGATTTATCGAAAACGTATCTGGAAACTTGTATCTCGCAGATGATTTCCTACGAGTCTGTTCGAGATGGATTTCCATATTTTGTCGCGTATAAATTACATCGAATCGATCGTTTTCTTCCATAGTAATTTATTTTTTATAGATATCGATTGATCGAAAGTAACGAAACAGCGTGAAGGAAAATTCTTTGGTACCGATCAAACGAATTGTGGTTCCGTGTAACGACAGAGTCCCCTACTTCGCAGAAGCATTTGGCAGTGGCACATAGGCACGTTTGTACTGTAGGTGTACGCCAACAAAAGCGTGTGGGTTTATATATAGAAATAGCACCGACGGAACAGCACCGGAAGTGAAGGAGTTCCGCCCAAGCCTGAAGGGTCACCGCACTTTGAAAACCGGGATCCAAGACTGCACGTATTACGTTTACTCGCCGGAATTCTATGTAGGTTGTTGTCGTACGTACATGGATTTTCGTTAGAAAACAAAATGGTTGTTTTTGAGAATCGTCGTCGCGTACGAATAAAAGATAATAATCAAGATAATAATCGTTTTCTTTTCGTAATGATTTAAATAACTCGTTGTTAATATCTGTTTCGCGAGTATGTAAAATTTATTCGAACGCGTTTCGATTCACGGGAATACGGTTAAAGAGGATGTCGAAGGCTCGGGGAGCGTCGTTGGCGGAAATAAGGCGGGCAAGATTTAAGGTCTCGACGGCGCACGAAGCGTTTCCCTCGTTAACGCGTGCAAACGTTTCCATGCTAAACGCGTGACTTTATGAATGAAACCACTACCGAGCGCAGTAGTTCCTACGCGATGGCAGTAGTACTCGCGTTTACTCGCTCGTTCCACGTAGGAAGGAAGTCGCGGGCGAACTAGTATTGTCCGTTCCAGCAGTGGTGGGCGCCGACCGCGACTGGTCAATTACCCGGTCAACATTTTTCCGGCAGGATGCCGCATTCAAGGAAGTGTAACTACGTCTGCAGGCCATCTACAGGGTGCTTTTAATCGCGTCGATGTCTAATGTATTATTCATGGTTCAATTAGGTACGTACCTTCGAATTCGCGGCGTAACGAGCACGGACGCGTCGCGAAAATTGCCGATATCGGTGCTGGATAACGTTGGTGTTTCTATCGAGACCGTTCGCCATTTGCTTCCTCCGCGTTCACGGAGAGGAATATTTGTTTCCGTCGAGACTAGACGCGTTCCGAATAGCCCGAAAGAGTGTCGCGATGGGCCGCGTCCGATCGAATTCTAGGGCGACGACTGGCCACTCTATTTCTAAACTCATTTCTATTTTCTATTTGTATATGCCAGCACGACAATTTTATACGTCTGCGATATTTCGAGGAGTCGGCGTTACCCTGTCGCGTCGCCTCCTCCACCGGACGAGCGTCTCGAGAAAATATATCGATCGATCGATCGAGTTTTCGGGACCGAGCAGAAGTCTTTGTTTGCAGAGAATTCTATTTTACTCCGTTTCCATCGGAACGTAATCGTACTCGATCGAGTAATTAGTACCATACTATCGGCCATTAAGCATTTGCATTCACCGCGCAAACGTCACGCGGCCTCTTTGCGCGATTGTGTGTTCGTAGCCGTAATAGTAGGAATCGTGTCTACCTTGCACGCGAGCGCGTACACGTTTAAACGCGATAGCGATCGACGCATCGCCGCTACGGAATTCTTGTTACGCAATTGACCTACGATATCGCTTGTCGCGCTTTCGGGAAATCGGACCCACGGCGTATTCCGCGCGAGACGTATCTCGAAGCGCGCGCACGCCTAGGAAAACATACGTAATTTCGAAAGCGCCTCGTTCATAATGCATGAGATTTTTATGGTCCGCGTATAAAACCAAATTCACCTCGACATTGACTTTACGCAAATCGCTGCCGCATTTCGTTGACCCAGCACACTGGAACGTTTCGTGTGTGGAAGAATCTAAAGTCACGTTTCCACGCGTAGAGTAGAAACGACGAGTTCTCTTTAGGCTGGCTACAAACGTGTGATATCGAAGGTTCGTTGAAAATCAAATCCGACTTTGATTATTGTATTATACGCGGCCTTGGGTGATCAAGTTGTACGTGCGTAGCGTTTCTTTAGAACGTAGCTTGTTTTCGTGGAAAACTGTGATTCAGAGGGCAGAAGGACCGCGAGGGAAACGCGAAACCCTCCACTAGAGCGTTACAGAGAGTCGAGAACAGGATAGCATACGGTCCGTTGAAGGGATTTTCATTGCATGTGCGCTAGGCGTGACGCCTGACAGCCTAGAGCAGCAATATATAGAGGCAAAGTCTAAGACGAGGAACAAGGGTGTCAGCCATTTTATGAAACGGCTGAGCCGTCTCGTCTCGTCTCACTGCCATTAGAGCGCGCCACATTCAGGAGATTTGACGAAAAATACGACTCTACGGTTTTATAGTCGCGGTCATTGAAACTACGCGTTACAGCGTTCTCAATGCTAATTAATAACGTTCGAGAAATTCAAATTTGATACCGACACGTACCGCGTCCATCGCAAATAAATAAATAAATAATCGCAAATTTTCCATCGATTTTTTTCTTTTTTTTGGTCGATACACGTTCGCAGGAACACCGAGTTTGGGTGAAGTGCATCGATCATTGCTGTATTCGAGAGTGAGTTTTGGTCGATCCACTTACGCTCGATAATGCCCCATCTTTTCAGCCCGTAATTTCCGTGTTTTCCGACCTCGTGGCTTCCCCCTCCCTTCGTCTTCGCGCACGCTTCACGATATCGCGAAGGTGGCGGATGGACGAAAAGAGAGGACGGCACGAGGAGAAGGTCGAACAGAGAGAACGAGACGGGCAGCGTGCTACGTGGGGAGAACGAAAGAAAAACGAGCGGCTCGTCGCGCGAGCGAGACAGACTCGAAGGAACGGGGCACGAGAGGGGTGGGGGTCGCGGAGAGTTTGGGAAGGGGGAGAAAGAGAGAGACAGAACAGGGAATCCACGAGCGATCGGCTGCTCTACTCAGTCCTCGTCCGTCTGCCAGTCGGTCATATACGGTGTAATTTTGACAGTTTGCGGCCCCTTACGTCACTAGAGTTTCGACGAGCCTCGCGCTTCCGCGATTCGACAGTGCCTTTTGGTGTGCCTTTGTAGTTGCTGGAAGAGATACACCCGTGCATCTCGGGACATGCTTAAGTGTTTATTGTTCGTTGTGGGATTTTCTCTCCGTACCTAGTCGATCGGTTGGATTTTACCGGAACTTGCTCGCCCAAGACCACGATTACTTCATTGCGTGTATCTCGTCCACCGACTATTTCGTTGAACTCAGTGTCGTTTCCTATCACGAATTCGCTTTCTCGTGCACCATTTTTCTATTTTTTTTTTTCACTCTTCATCGATCACCGAAGATATCGACAGTACCGTCGAGATGTCCGCGGTCTTTGCGAACTACGAAAAGAGAGAAAAGGTACGTGTCGAGAGCTTTGATTGCGTTCGTTAAAAAGAAACCGTAAAACCGATACGATATCGAGGGATTCCTCGCTGTCCTTAGCGTGTCTTCCCGAGACGCACGAAAAATCGAAAAATCGGCCAAGATCTGCACGGTGAAGGTAAAACTCGCTGGATACATCGCCGTCACGACGATAGGTCGAGACTCGTCTCATAAAGTCGTTGCTGCGTAAACAGTACGTTGCGAAATAGAACGCTGTTTGCTATGCTACGTCGATACCGTCATCTCACGATTCTCTCGCCAGCGCGTCGAACGATATCCTTCTCATCGAAATTCCTATCCTAGCTCTATTTTCCTTCGAAGGTAGTCGTTCCTCTATGTCCGCTTCTTTTTTTTCTTTTTTTTTTTCGCGAACGAAGTGCACGATTCTCGTTGGGTCGTAATGGTCGGTCTGTCGGATAATCTGTACCCGCTTTGACGCGGATCCTGGGCGTCGATTAACGATAATGAAGTTTGAGTGACGCATACGCGCATCGTCGATGATTAAAGCGTTAATCTCGCCAGCATATCGTGGAATTTGCAGACTCACGAGGAAAAGGCGAAACGGTTCTACTAGCGGCGTCCGCTTTCAAGCGAGTCGATCGGAAACGTGTGGTCGCTGTTCATCCCTATTTCGCGCGTCGGTGAATGAACCGGTGGCGGCAGTAAAGTGGGAGGCAGAGGAGAGCAGCTTCCGCGCGCGAACTTTTCCTCGAACGAGGCGATCGTCGATCGGTGATCCACGACCGAGTAAAAAATTAAACGTCCGCGAAGAAGCGACGAAATCGCGCGTAATTTTACACCGGACACGTATTGGGGTACCCACGCACATGCGCGTTTCGCTGTGTACGCGCATGCGCGCGCAAAGTCGTTTGATCTCTCGCAAATGGCGTAAGTAGATCCGCACGTATTATTAAATAGATAACGACCATAAATTTGGGCAAGTTACATAAAGGCGCAAAAGTACGCGTTAAGGTCCGACCATTCTATTTGTGTGCCGGCAGCGACCGGCGATCTAGGACCGTGGTTCTCAATCCCCGTTTCTGGCCGTACGATCGAAAATTACGGAACTCGTTCGGGAATCTCGTTGTTTCCTCGACAATTTTTCGGCGACCTCGTCTATCCGGCGATAGAAATTTTCGAAACGTTCGTGGCGGTACTGGCACGCAGTTGTACGAGGCGGACGCGACAAATAAAGCACGATAAACTTATCGAGCGAGCGCCACTGGGCGAGAAAGTCATCGAGAACACTGTCTCTGTTTATCGTTGCCCGTATGTCTATTTGCCTTTTATCAATTTTAGAAGCGATAATTTCTCTTCCAAATTGCGAGACCGTACGAGAGCTCCCTCGTAGAGGCTAGAACGCGTAGTTTTTTTCCATCTGTTTGGGTTACAAGAGAGAGATCCGGATTATCGGGGAAAGCTGGCAATAGTTTAACGGAGATTCGTCGCCGGCGTGGCGGAAAGACGCGTATTTAAACGCGGAAAAATCGCCGAAATCGTAAGGTCCGCCGCGGCGTAGAAATTTTTCCATGGCGCCACGGCGCATTATTGGCGCGCTTCCAAACGAATCAGCTCCTAGCTTCGTCTATTTTCGTTGATACCGATCTTCGTAGGAGGACAGCGTCTGCACACGGTATTGGCGTTCCCTCTGTCGGAAAACCGTTGACGTTTCCAGCGATTCTCTCCTTCCCGGAAAACTGATAAATAGAAACGACGTAAAAATAGGACCACCGCCAATTCGAATCACGCGTGGCTCGCTTAAATATCGTCTCTGTCTTCTCCTTTTGCATCCGTCTCGTTCGATCCTTTATCGGCTGTACGCGATAGCTCCGTCGAAGGCACCGACGCGTCTCGCTCTATACCACGTCGCATGCAACAGGTATCTGGCTTGACGTCACGGTATCAGGACGAAGAAAGAAAGTATGATGCAAGGGGCCGCAAGAAAGAGTGAAACGAGACAATGTGGTGGCGAGGGGGAGGTGGGCGCGACGATACCTCGACGGTGGGTAGCGGTACCGGTGGAATCGTGCATACACGCTTGCTCCGGTTTTTTTTTTTTTTTTATATCCGTTTTTCACATTCGTCTCTGTCTCTTCTCCCGCATTGTCGGGGCGAGAGAAACAAACTTAGCCGAGCGGAGTTGTGTCACCGCGACGCCCTGTTATGCGACTGTTATTCAACGTGCGCGGAAATGTGCGCCGGAAACGTAGCGTGCAGATATATACCCGGGGAACCCCACCGACAAGCTTTTTTACCGTTTAGCGGTACGCGGTTCTCTCCTCTGCACTTTTCTCTCGCGAAGGAAATATGGATTTATGGGCTAACCGTGGACACGTCGAAACGCCTCGATTCTTCTCGACTGTGAATCATAGGTTATGATTCAACGTTTTTAAAATATGCGTAGGATATTGATATATAATTGCTTCGTGGCAGGCGTTAAATAATCGTCGACTGTATCCGGCAGGGAATTTCCAGTGAGTCGAAAGTAATCGAGAAGCATCGTCGCGTTGTACGGTTCTTGGAAAAAATGGGACGCGCGGTATAGTTCGTGCAGCGCGATCCTCTTCCGCGTTTTTCGTCGATTCTGCTTGTTTCTGCTCGGCATGTAAAACGGTGAGGGGAAACAGTACCTGGTTGGTATAACGGGGTGTCGGTAGAGACGGCCGCTGCCACTATGGGAATTCTAATTAGAGATAATGACGTCATTAAGGTCTGAGCCACGACGAGACGAGACGGTCGAGACGAGACGAGACGGTCTGCTGCGCTTACTGTACATACTCTATTCCGAGTGCGCGCGCATTGGTGTGCCGCGCGTACACGCGAAACGAGCTTTGTTCGAGCTTCGTGTTCTATCGTGCCGATGCACGGGCTCCTCCGGTGCGAATGCACTCTAAACTCTAGGCAAGAAGGCGAAACAGCTCCTATCGCGCCGCGGTGGAATAGACGAGTTTACGCGAGGAAACGGCCGGAGCAACGGAGACGCGTTTTATCGGCCGAACGGCGTCGCGGTATCGTCGAATGCGTGGCATTAATTTCAGTATTATTGAAATACAGCGCGTATCTCGTCGCCTTCATTCATTCCCTCTGTTCCAGTATCGTGTAACCGTAAATTTTTTTCTTATCTGTCCGACCGGTTGACGCGGCCAGTTCGCTTCGACTTTCGTGAATAAGAATATTGGCGAGCGATACGACGCTTCGAGATTTATGTTCATTTTTTTTTCCTCTCTCTCTCTTGCGGCTCCTTGTTAAGTAACTGAGTAGTTTCGGTTCAGAGTCCAGCGCGATAGCGATTCAGGAACGGGCGAGAAATTCGGTCGCGCGAACCAATCTTCGGGATCTTGTTTTGTTCCCGGTTAAAAAATTCTATTTATAAATTGTTTGCGTTTTTGGAGCAGAGAAATTATCCAATGAAAAAAAAAGAAACGATGGCGCGTGAGTTTTCGCAAAACCACGATATTATCCGCCCAACGGATGACCAATCTTCTTTGTATCGCGATCGCGTCGGCTCGGTAGCGAACGCGCGCGCGCGCGCGCGACCGCGGGCGGACTTGTCCTCTCCGTGTGTCGGTGGCGTTGTTTTTTTTGCTAACGTCACGCGACAACTATGTGCGACACACAGTCCCGGGGCGTACCACTCGGATTGTAAAACTCCCAGGGCCGTCTGCGTGCAGATCGCGAACGCGACGGGTACTTTGCCTTTTTCTATTATTGAAATTGTCGGTGTGTCGCGCTATATACGAAATTCCTTGGCTCGGTGGCGATTAAGATTTCTCGAAAGAACGACGTCGCGAGGTTCGCGGACGAGCGGGCCGGCAGTTCGTATGGGACTCGCGGCGAGCCGCTGCTAAACAAGACCTTATATGGCGCAAATATCCCCGTGGCTCCTCGTCCCGTAGCATTCCTTAACAACCTTCCCGAGCGAGATATTTCATCGGCGACTCGGGAGTTCTGCCGTTTCTTCGTGCGTCCACCCGTTCCGTTCCCTCTTCGTGGGAATCGCGGGTTCAGGACTTTGTCCCTCCGCCCCGTCGTTCAACCCAAGGTGAACCTCGGGGAACGGTTTCGCGTGTTCCGATTGTCCGGCACGTCCGCGCGCTACGTCGAAATTCTATCGGCCGTCAGCGGTTCTTGACGAACGATACCGTGACACGCCGTAAGGCACGCGTCTGCCACCGATTTGAGAACCGCTGGCGTGCCTAGACGCTGCTGCTCCCGGCACCGCTGTCGCGCGGTTGGCTCTTTAAACTTTAAAAGCCAACACGCTGGCCGCGAAACTATTGACGACCGGACAGGGCCGTCGTCGTTTTACAGGACCCCCACCAAGTCCGCCGCGGCTCCTTTCGAATTTTCTCCCCTCCACGTTCCTTCCTCGGACTCTCGACTCTTTCATTCTCTCTCTCTCTCTCTCTCTCTCTTGTTCCCGGTGTCTGTCGGGATCCGTGGCTGCTGCCCTCTTCCTTTCTCCGTTTATCCGGGGCTCGTCGCGCGCCGTTGTTCGCGAGGCCCTCGAAACCCACCGAAAACCGCCTATTCTCCGTCGCGGGAACCGACGCCTTGCCATCACACGGTTATGCAAAACAATTATCGCGGAATGCGGTCAGCTGTTCCGAGACGCGCGTTGACGTCATGCGGTTAACGCGTGCGCGAATTCTTGCGGGCTCCTACGCACGTGCGTCGCGACTACGTGACCCTGCGAAACTGCACCCTCCTCCGAGTCCAATCTTGTCTTTTTTCTTCCTTCTCTTTCTCTCTCTCTCTCTCTCCCTTCTCCTCCCCCTCTTCCTCGTCCGCCACCTCCTCTTTCCCCCTCGGTCGCTCAATCTTTGTGCCACCTAATTAGAGAAACGCGCGACGTCTCCCGCAGCACTTCCGTTTTCCTCTTGCGTAACCCGCTCTCCGAGACACGCCTCGTCCTTGAAAGTTTTACACGTGCCGGAATTACACCGACTGCGAGCCCATTCGGTGTAAACAGACGA